CACTCAGGATAGTGACTATCGAATGCACTCGCAAAAACCAGCCCAATTCTCTGTAATTTTTCAACATCACGGCACTTCGGCGCGTAATTGCTAAAGAAACAACGACCAGCCAATCCGCGTCAGCTGCCGGTCTTGTCATAAAGCAAAACACCTCTTGTATTTACCATATAAGTGAGGAGCATCCATATGCCAAGTAAGAGTAGACGGCAATATCGAATAACCGTCCTCAGTAACATGCCCAAATGCCCTAAAAGTAACACCTGGGTGACTACCGCCGGTCTCCCGGCCATCAAAGTGGGGTCCGAAAGGGATAAGCCTATCGTAGACAGTCCCTCTGGAATTTCTCTTGAGTGACGCTTAAAGGATAATGAAGGTAAAGAATCTCAAATACGAATTCCGCAATCCCCGAATATTTTTATCATCCGCTTCCTCCTAGCATTCCAACACTTGTGATATGATACATCCAAGTTGGTGCTTTAATGCACTAAAAGACGATAATCTTCGCCTGAGATCAAGATCCTCCCTCACAGATGGCGGTAACAGAATCAATTCGATTACTCACAAAGAAGAGGACAGCACAATATCTTGGTTAATTCATCTCTAATCGAGGATTGCTACAGAGTGTGGAGTCCATTGTATGCCGACGGATTTTGAATTGCCACACCTACTCTTGAACCGGAGCGCCGAATTACAGACTGTCCACGGACACCTGTCGGCATTGCCGGTCGTGGTGGTCCACTATTATCTTCGACACGTCGTCATCTTGGCGATAGGAAAAACCACATTATAGCTTGAGTATGATTTTTGGTTAGGCTGAACTTCACATTTTTTGCAATGGAATATAGTGCGAATAGCATGGATCAATTTCTCCCTTACTACGCCGTAAAGATCTCCCCTTGATGAATGAGAAGTCCTCAGCCTGTGTAATCAACACGCGCTATTAAGTGCCATAGAACATTTCCATCGCGGAGATTATCAATCCATTCATCTCCTTGAAGTTCACTCGGCGGCGGATCCTCTAAGCCGACAGTACTCATTATTAACATAAGCCCCGGTCGATGTGGGTTGGATTTCCCCGTCATCACATCTACTCACGGTCAATGGCTATTAATTGTTGTAATCGACCTCCTCTTCATCATCATCTCTCGATTCAACACACTTCATTATCTTCCCTTGAATTCGCCGGTGTTAGTATGAAAGGCATTCGGAGTGCCCGCACGGGAACAGAAGGAACCCGGCTCACATCCGTATTGTGGATTGGTGTCCAAACATTCAGTCTTGGTTGAGCGAGATAAAAAAGCCTCACAGACATCAACCTCAGGACTCCTCCACGATGGCCGTCAACTCCGGTTGCAACAAGCAAAACGCCTTTGTATTTACCATATAAGTGAGTTCCATCAATGCTAAGAAGAGGACGGCAATGACGAAACCCCTCAATACAGGGCCCAAATGCCCAAAATACACCGGTGAACCGCCGTTCTCCGCCATCAACGGGGTCCGAAGATACTTCGTAGACAGTCCCCGGATTTTCTCTTTTGAGTGCTTCAAGATAATGAGGTAAGATCTCATACGATTTATCCCAATCCCCGAATATTTTTATCATCGCCTTCCTCCTAGCATTCCAACACTTGTGATATGATACATCCAAGTTGGTGGCTTTATGCACTAAAAGACGGATATCTTTCGGCCTTAGATCAAGATCCTCCCTCAGATGCGGTAAAATCAATCGATATATAAAAGAAGAGGACGCATTCTTGTTATTCATCTCTAATCGAGGATTGCTACAAGTGTGGAGTCCATTGTATGCCGTGATTTTGAATTGCCCACCTACTCTTGAACCCGAGCGTGAATTAAGCTTCCACGGACACCTCGCATTGCCGTCGTGGTGTCCACTATTATCTTCGACATCGTCATCTTTGCGATAGAAACAAACCACATTATAGCTTGTAGTATTATTTTTGGTTGGCCTGAACTTCACATTTTTTGCAATGGAATACGTGCGAATAGCATGGATCAATTTCTCCTTACTCTCGTAAAGATCTCCCTTGATGAATGAGAAGTCCTCGGCCTGTGTATCAACACCGCTATTAGTGCCAATAGGAACACTTTCCATCGCGGAGTTATCAATCCATTCATCTCCTTGAAGTTCATCGGGCGGCGGATCCTCTAAGCCGACATACTCATTATTAACATAAGCCCCGTCGATGTGTTGGTTTTCCCCGTCATCACGATCTATCAAGGTCATGCTATTAATTTGTAATCCCTCCTCTTCATCATCATTCTCGGATTCAACACTTGCATTGTCTTCTTGAATTCCCGTGTTAGTATCGAAAGCATTCGAAGTGCCCACGAACGAAGGACCGCTCATGTATTGTGATTGTGTCCAACATTCATCTTGTTGAGGAGATAAAAAGCCTACAGAATCAACTTCAGGATCCTCCAACATGCGGGAATACATTCCTTCGTAGTTCAACAATTTGCCCAAATCTCTCTGATGTTTTTCAATGAACAATTCAACCGAACGCTTCTCGTCGTGTAAGACATGAATGAGACCCATATCGTAGTCCGAAGATATTTGAATGCCACTTGTTCTGTTCCCCACAACAGGATAATTGCAAACCACACTGAGGTGATACTCACGTGAGTTAGTTAATGTAAGTTTGTGTAATTCATTAACCAACTCATCGAAAGTACACGATTTTGTTATGAACAACGGTCTCGTCGTTCCTCCTTCATATACGGGCATATTATTCTCGAGGTAATTAATCTTCCCATCATAAGAACAGAGAATTACAATTCGATCGTTCATCGTTACCTCTGAAGAGTGAAAAATTCAATATCAATATTACACGAAAAGCCAAATAAATATTGATTGTTACTAATTTTTACATTTAGGTAGTAACTCTAATTTCCACATTAATTGATAATTTCACCTCTAAATACGCAAAATTATTTAATACGTCTTCACAAAATTCGTAAATAATTCACAATTAAATTATAAAATCTAATTTATGTCATACATATGTAAAAATACTAAAATCTAAATTTTTTCTTCAACAAAATCTAAATAATTCACTAATTAAATATCTAATACTCTAATACAATAATTTTCGAAATATTATTGATAATTTACCCCTCTGAATTTCACAAAATTATTTGATAAATTACACACTAATTCTTCACCAAATTTTCACAAATAATATTTGATTAATTATCACCATTGATAATTTTCCCTCTTTTTTCACATTATTCGATAATTTTCCCTCTAAATTTTCCATTTATTTGATTAATTTCTCCCATCTACTTTTCACTATTTCTTCATAAAATTCATAAAAAATTCATAATCTTAAATTTTATTATAAAATCTATGATTCTTACATGTAATTCACAATCAAAATAGTGGGAGACCAAGTATACAACAATTAGATGAGTTATTAGCTTTTTTTGAAATAATTTACCTGTTTTTTCTGCAAAAAAAAACAGACTGAGATCTGAAGGGAGGCGGCGGTCGGAGGCGGCGGCGCCGGCGGCGGTCGGAAGCTGGGGCACCGGTGGGAGTTGGAGGCTGGGGCGGCGGCGGTCGGAGGCTGGGGTAGCGATGGCACTGCGAAGGCGGCGTTTGGGAACGAAGTTGAAAGTTTAGGGTTTGTGGGCTGGGGTCGGGTAGGTCACACGCGCTTAAATAGGTGGCAGCAAACTCCACGGGAGTTCAACTCCCGTGGAGTTGCAGTGCCAATTTTCCAGAGATCGATTCTCTGGAAAACTGGCACTGCAACTTCACGGGAGTTGAACTCCCGTGAAGTTGCAGTCACAATTTGCCAGAGACTCGATTCTCTGGAATTGCTGACTGTAACTCCACGGGAGTTCAACTCCCGTGGAGTTTTAAGCAGAAATTACGCTTCACGGGAGTTGAACTCCCGTGAAGTTTAATTTCTCCATAAACTTCACGGGAGTTGAACTCCCGTGATGTTTCGGAGATTTTTTTACAAAAACCGACCTGTTTTCAGCGCTGGGCTGAAAACAGGTCGGTTTTTGCAATTATTTTGAAAAGGGGTCGGTTTTTGCAATTAAATGTGTAAAAGGGTTGTTTTTGAAAATTTGTCGTTAATCTTTTTAGATACAACGTTTATTGGTTAATTAAATAATTTAATAACTCCTAGTCCACTGAGAAAGAAATCGAACGAGGCCAAATGGCGAATATCCATATATATTAATTAATAATATAACTATTAATTAATCAAAACATAAAATCTGTAGTTAGTCCAAATCATCTGATAACCACAATGAAGCATGTCGACATGATGAGATCATAGCGTATATATGCATATTTAGTTAGATACCGGTACGGCGTTGCTATGCATCTTGCACGACCAATATGATCATCTCACGTATCAGAAACTTTAAAAATATTTTTAATGAGTTACGTATGAGCTTGCGCAAGTCTATTTTATGTATGATCAATTTGATATTAACGAAGCTTTACGTAGAAATGGAAAATGATAGAGGCACATCCCCAACCACAACCTCAACCACACCCCCTTTCTCATTTGTTACAATGCATCAGGCCTCACATGAGATTTTAAAATTTTAAAATCACATGTGGGACCCGGTGTACTATAGCAAATGAGAGAGGGGTGTGATTAAGGTTATGGCTGGGGGTATGCCCCTAGTGCCATCCCGTAGAAATATAGCAACATGACAACAAAAGTACAGATCGCAAAATATCAATCTCTATCCGACGTCAAATTCAGATTCTTCATTCTTGACAGCTTTTAGACGAAAAAAGATGTTTTCGAGACCAAAACAATCATATAATAACTAAGAAAAGATTCAGTAACTATCAGTAGATTCTCTAGCTGTTTCATTCTTTGTCCAGAGTTCATACGATAATCAAGTATTTGCCCGTACCATGATGGTACTAGTATTGAGCTTTAGCAAAAGAAAAATATACAAGAGAGCTTAAGATGAAGTGTTTTAGGACCAACTTAAAGAGTACCATATGAGATCAATATTTCAACCTGAACAAATTTAGAATCACCATTCTGGAAACCTCAGACTTTAAAGTAGACCATAAACTGACAACAAACACAGCAGCTACAAATTTCAGAGTTACCATCGAGGTCAAAAAGTCATACTTAGCCACACATTACCGAATATCTCAAAACATGTGACAAAGTTCACAAGGAAGGAAATCTTCATGTTGCATGTTATCTCTATTACATCAGACATCAACTCGTACAACTCCCCTCAAGCATCTCGAAAAGTTACACTGGAGATGAACGGTCAATCATACTCAAGTTCATCGGTTGTCACAGGCCTTTTCAGGGGGATGATGGATTTCTTCTCTACGTCCTGAGACAATGCTTTCCTCATATCTACAAATGATGGGGAGTACAACAGTGACAAAACGCAACATCAGTAATTTTCCAAAAGTGGCTCCAAGATATAATGTAGAAAAGTCGTAATTTGGTGGAAGCAATGACTCACCCAAGCCATCTTCTTCCCCAGAGTAATAGCGCAACACCCGTCGATATATTACATATCCCAGCTGTTCAACAAGTTCAAATCAGGAGAATTTTTATATTATAGAAAACTACAATTGCCTGCATGTAGGGAAGTATATACCTCCTATCACATATAAAAAGTCGAAAAGAAAAAGGTGAAATATCCAGGCTTATCCTAAAAAAAAGGTTTTGTTATATGGATCTCTATAATATCAAGGGGAAAAAGACTCTTAACTACCTATGTCTTTGTCTTACCAAAGATGGAAGAATCACACAAACATAACAAAGTGTCGGTAGATTTTCTAAGTTTTGATGCCAAAAAGGAAATATTTCAGAGTCACAAAGGAAATTATTTGCTCAAAAGTGCACTGTTCAGAAAGATTTAGCATTAACAAGAGCTCTTTGGTGATAACACAATGCATTCACTAATAACCTTGAATCTTTCTCATTATTTTGACTTTTCCAGAAGGTTGAATGTCTAAGTCAGTTCACAAATGGCATACCTTTTCATACATTTTGATGGCCGGCATATTGGATGCCCTGACAAAGAGATCTACAAAGTAAGCCTTATCCCTGCCACCAGCAATATTTAAGGGCATAAGACTTTGTCATAGATTAGAAAAGTAGCAGACATATAACCAAACATCGGATCCAAGGAGGGAAAAAACTGAACTAATATGCAAATCGGATTGCAATAAGCAGAATTTTCACCAGAAAGGAAGACATCCTTGCATATCTTAGCATAGTCTCATGGATTGGTGAGAATAAGTGCAACTGAAACGGAAACACAAGCACAAAAATTGCAATGACAATAGTAGAAACAGCATATGCTTTATAATTTAACCTTTTGAACATCTAGCTTTATGTGGTTAAAAATGAATGTTCACGAAGGCTTTATTGTGCAACCAAATGTCATATCAGAAAAAATTAGTGGACAGATTAGTCCTACCAAGGAATTGATTTTACCATTCTGTGCTCATTTCCAAGTATAAAAGAATCGCCTCAGTTTAAGAACTCAAGCAAACCCTTTGTTGAAATGCTCGAACATAAGATGCAATGACACCAATTTCCAAGCATCAACACAGCATGCTAGTTTAATGATAACTAAAAACAGCCTTTTTTAAAAAGCCGAAACAAGACACAATAACTCAGAAATATTCTTCAAAACACCTTGCAAAGTTCTCAAAATATTTACTGAACAAATATACAGGACCCATGTTGTGGGCAAAAAATGCCTATGTGAAGCCTTCTGAACATGGCTCCATAAATTCCACTCATTTTTTTGGGAAGAAGGATTGGATGATACAGTCAATAACAGTTTTATTCTGTAGGCCAAAAGTTTCTCAAATGATACATTTTCTTGAACCTCTTTCTTGAAGGAGGAAATTATGAGTCCAATCTAAGGTTAGTTTTTTAGTAAAACCTTGTTCACCTAGAAACATGCATAATGACGAATCATACATTCATACTGTGTCGGCATCCTCATATAAATTTGCGAACAGAAGCACAAAGAAAGGACACAAGACATTGATGGGAACATGTACAATGAAAACATCCTGTTGAGAAAACATGAACATCTTTGGAGATTGATCTTCCTTTCATAACAGCTGTCAGATCATCTGTGCAATGATTATGCTAACCTTCACTGGACTTGCTACCACAAATTTGAGTCCAAGCAAACGTAAACGATCATTGCGCTCATATCCTCAGAAAGACTAAGAAATACATGCAGTATTTTACAATTTCTGTTATTTGGAACTTCATTCAACTTAGATCGACAAATAATAAATAAAAGAAGGAATTAAATTTAATCGAGTAATCAATACCCTGAACTTTCACTTGAAGAATAACTCAAAAAAATTCCTCCCGCCGTGATACAGGAGTAATTGAAATGAATTTAATTTTGAGGTATCAAAGCCAAGAAAGTGTATGCCGGAAGCTAAAAGTACAATCAAAAGGTAACATTCAATTATACTATGGGAATTTGCACAGAACAGCAATCTTGTTCTATTTTCTTTTCATGTAGTTTTAAGATTGTGTCTGTGAGGAGTCATCAGGTTGAGATAGTTACATTTTGTCACTGATATCCTCCAGCATGTGCATAAGTTTCTTGGCTAACTGCTGCCTTCGATACTCTGAAGCTACTGTTACTGCAGTAACATGCCCATGCCAAGATTCACCTTGCCCTTCAACTTTTCCCATAACTGCAACAAAAAGTCGCCAGAAAATTACCTGATCCATTTACTATAAATTCAAACTCCAGTTTCGAGGAGGAAAAAAATGCATAGGAAGCACACATGGCACATTATGTTACATAATGATATTTTATTTAATGTACACAACTCAAAAAGAAACAACTAAAAGACACCAATGACCTCATAAGCAAAAGGGAGAAAATAAAACAATAAAAATTCAAACTCTAGTTCTAAGGAGAAAAAAACGCATCGAAAGAACACATGATACATTATGTTATAGAATCACATATTTTCTTGAAAGAGAAATAACCTAGAATGTAGCAGAAATAACTCATATAGAAACAACAAAAGGCTCAAATCACCTCACACACAAGGGAGAAAGAGAAAACAATAAATGCTACAGTAATCTGACACTCACAGTATACATCAAAGAATAATTTATACTTTTATATTTATACTACAATTTGTTTGGAGGATGGGGTTTCTCCAACTAAATTAGACCTCTTCTCAAATCTGTATTGGGCTTTCATTTCTGTACATCAGTAACCAAGGAGTTTTATACAATTGATTCACAAAAAAGGTTTGGAATCAAAAATTAGAGAAACAAAAAATAAAAAAAAAACAAATAAATGAGTTTCAACCCTGAAAGCTTACACCAGTCTTAAATGCCCTGTGCAAAATCATATATTGGTAGACATGAAGGGGGGAAAACAATTTATTACTGCTATTAGTTTCATCATAAAGTTAAACCTAACTAATGTCACTTTCCACTCATTAACCAATATATTGTAGACCAAAGTTGCTTCGGATGAACCTACAAGAACATAGGCTGTTTTACATGCACTGCTCTTTCTTTCTTTCTTCTTCTTCTTATTATTTTGACAACATTTTCAGAGCACAGGAGCTACCTCATAATTTCAAAAAATAAGTACCGAAACTATAAACCTTTAGTTAAACCTAACTAATGTCACTTTCCACTCATTAACCAATATATTGTAGACCAAAGTTGCTTCGGATGAACCTACAAGAACATAGGCTGTTTTACATGCACTGCTCTTTCTTTCTTTCTTCTTCTTCTTATTATTTTGACAACATTTTCAGAGCACAGGAGCTACCTCATAATTTCAAAAAATAAGTACCGAAACTATAAACCTTTCTGATGATTGAAAATAGAGGGCTAGTTCTGAGGAAAAAAAATCATCAGAAACATTACCTGCAATTTTCTCTGTCCTAGTGTTGTTGTAATAATTTATGAATGAACAAACTGCTTCCCACAATATCATCCAGGAGGATTTTATTATATGCATTAAAAAGATCATATGGCAAGCCAGAACAAAGAACAGAAAAATGAAAAAGTTATTACCATGCCTCATCATAATATGCCCATTTCTTGCCAGCCTATAACTATCTTTCATGTCTATTGAGATTCATTTATGGATATTGTTTTTCAGTTTTTCTCATCAGCAGCATGTAGAACCAAGAACTGTATGGAACAACAATCATAAATGTTGCTTTTATGCAAGACGATCAAGACCAGTATTTATCATCTCATCATCATGATCTTGCCTTTGAAACAAAAGCCTATAGAAGATTTGAGAAAGTTCTACAATTGAAAATATGAAATCAACCCTCTCTTAACTATCGTGGAATCCTTGGGACGAGAAACTATGGATAAGCGAAGGGCTAGCCATAAAGCTAAAAATTCAAATTCATGAGAAGAGGAATAGAACAAGAAGGAAAATAATATACGGAGAATTCCTTTTAACTTTTAAACATGCATAAGACGAAGACCCAAAAGGAACACACTACCAGGTAACAAAAACAACAACACAACCTTTATTCCGTATTTTTTGGTGTTGGCTACATGAACCTTATTGTTCCATAACTCCATTCAGTTCTGTTAAAGGCTATCTCCTCTTTAACCATCCCAATTTCATGTAATCAACATATCTTAAGTATTTATATTTCTTGTGAGAGATAAAAATCAAATGGTGTACTTCATAATTCACACAGAGCAAAATCTTCACTTTGTCCGAGATCTGTTAGGTCCATGTCCTACATTAGTAGTTGTAAAGGAATTTTAGTAACCTCATTAAAGTGTTCCATTCTTGATGGTGGCAATTGATTTTAGAGCCATTTATTTTGGGGAGTGGAGTAATACCTCGGCCGTCTCAGTTACCTACTTTGGAACAGATTGTTAAAGTCAACTACATATTAAACAAGTACATCACTAATCCCCATTAGCGAATCGTGTTAACTGTCTTACAAGTGCCACCACGAGAGAGAGAGAGAGAGAGAGAGGCACCCTGCGAACTCTCATCTTGCAATGGTAAAATGACGGTAGTCTATATTTCTAACCAGTCCACTGGTGGGACCTACATATCAACGAGAACCCAGTTTTCTTTCGCCCATTGAGTATATCTTAGGTTTGGCGTGACATGAGGCACAGATGATATCCTTTAGAGATCATAAGTTGCAATCCTCAAGAGGTAAACAACAAGAAAGTATTACCAAGAAAAGGGAACACAGTGATAGACATTTTTATTATTATCAGAATTCATAATCTCAGTGTTTCGCAACAAGGGTCAGCTCAAATTAACTCTTATATATCCAATCCTCAATCATTCTGGCAGCCTTGAAGAGTATGATAATCAGTTCAAGTAACTTCAATCAATTGGAAATTGGAGAAGATTGAACGTGAGTTAAAGCGTTAAACTCGAAGTAGAAAATGGCAACCTTAATCAAAGCCTGTTTGTTCAAGTGTCCTTGTATACCGCAATCATCAAAAGCTGATGATTGAAAATAGAGGGCTAGTTCTGAGGAAAAAAAATCATCAGAAACATTACCTGCAATTTTCTCTGTCCTAGTGTTGTTGTAATAATTTATGAATGAACAAACTGCTTCCCACAATATCATCCAGGAGGATTTTATTATATGCATTAAAAAGATCATATGGCAAGCCAGAACAAAGAACAGAAAAATGAAAAAGTTATTACCATGCCTCATCATAATATGCCCATTTCTTGCCAGCCTATAACTATCTTTCATGTCTATTGAGATTCATTTATGGATATTGTTTTTCAGTTTTTCTCATCAGCAGCATGTAGAACCAAGAACTGTATGGAACAACAATCATAAATGTTGCTTTTATGCAAGACGATCAAGACCAGTATTTATCATCTCATCATCATGATCTTGCCTTTGAAACAAAAGCCTATAGAAGATTTGAGAAAGTTCTACAATTGAAAATATGAAATCAACCCTCTCTTAACTATCGTGGAATCCTTGGGACGAGAAACTATGGATAAGCGAAGGGCTAGCCATAAAGCTAAAAATTCAAATTCATGAGAAGAGGAATAGAACAAGAAGGAAAATAATATACGGAGAATTCCTTTTAACTTTTAAACATGCATAAGACGAAGACCCAAAAGGAACACACTACCAGGTAACAAAAACAACAACACAACCTTTATTCCGTATTTTTTGGTGTTGGCTACATGAACCTTATTGTTCCATAACTCCATTCAGTTCTGTTAAAGGCTATCTCCTCTTTAACCATCCCAATTTCATGTAATCAACATATCTTAAGTATTTATATTTCTTGTGAGAGATAAAAATCAAATGGTGTACTTCATAATTCACACAGAGCAAAATCTTCACTTTGTCCGAGATCTGTTAGGTCCATGTCCTACATTAGTAGTTGTAAAGGAATTTTAGTAACCTCATTAAAGTGTTCCATTCTTGATGGTGGCAATTGATTTTAGAGCCATTTATTTTGGGGAGTGGAGTAATACCTCGGCCGTCTCAGTTACCTACTTTGGAACAGATTGTTAAAGTCAACTACATATTAAACAAGTACATCACTAATCCCCATTAGCGAATCGTGTTAACTGTCTTACAAGTGCCACCACGAGAGAGAGAGAGAGAGAGAGAGGCACCCTGCGAACTCTCATCTTGCAATGGTAAAATGACGGTAGTCTATATTTCTAACCAGTCCACTGGTGGGACCTACATATCAACGAGAACCCAGTTTTCTTTCGCCCATTGAGTATATCTTAGGTTTGGCGTGACATGAGGCACAGATGATATCCTTTAGAGATCATAAGTTGCAATCCTCAAGAGGTAAACAACAAGAAAGTATTACCAAGAAAAGGGAACACAGTGATAGACATTTTTATTATTATCAGAATTCATAATCTCAGTGTTTCGCAACAAGGGTCAGCTCAAATTAACTCTTATATATCCAATCCTCAATCATTTTCTTCCCCCAGAATACCCAATTTAAGACTCATCTTAGTACAACAAATTACAATTAAAACACAGTGGATGAGGGGGGCTTACTGTAACCCATGATTTTGTTGCCAGGGCCCTCGGCAACGTGGAAGTAATCAGGCCAACGAGCCAAATAAGTCATGTAGAAGGACATATTGAACTGCGTAATAACGAAATCAAGAACCAGAGAAAATGAGAAATTTTTTCTTTTTTCTTTTTGGGAAAAATGAACGAATAAATAAATAAAGTAAGGGACGACGAAAAGGGGGAGATTACAGTTTCAGTTAGATGGTCGAGATTGACGTTAGCGAAGCGGAGGAGATCGTTGCAGCAGAATCTGCGGATCGTCGTCATCCTTCTTCGTCTTCCTCTTCCTCTTCCTCCTCCTCTTTTTCGCTTTGCTCCGCCTTCACACGAGGGGAAATTTTTTAAAATAGGCTGATTTTGCTAAATATTTAGCAAAATCCACCATTTTTGCTAAATATTTAGCAAAATCGACCTTTTCTTGGCCAACAAGCTAAAAAAGGTCAATTTTAAAAAACGTCCAGCTGAAAACATACGGGAGTACTATTTCTGTATGTTTTCAAGAGCACTAATCATTGATTAGTGCTCCCAGAAAACATACGAGACTAGTAGTCCCGTATCATTCCAGAAAACATACGAGACTAGTAGTCCCAGAAAACATACGAGACTCGTAGTACCGTACATAAAACAGAGACTTTTGGCCCAGATCTACGGGACTGCTAGTCCCGTAGAAAAGTCGACTATTTAAACAGATGTGCCCTAAATTGGGCACAACCGCTATTCCCAAACCCGTCTCACTCCCGATCTCACTCTCAATCTCTCTTCTCTCTCCCAAACCCATTGAATTCCCTCCCAAACCCATTGAACTCTCTCCCAAACCCATCTCACTCCCTCTCAAACCCATTGAACTCTCTCCCAAACCCGATTGCCACACCCAAACCCAATCTCCGTCTCTCCCAAACCCGTTCTCTCTCTCCTAAATCCAACTCACTCCCTCCTCCCTCAAATCCGACGCCGTCTATTATCTCCGACACCGACGCCGTCTACACTCTCCAACGCCGACGAGATCCGAAAAATTTCATCAATGTAACAATTTCATATTTTTTCATAAATTTCTCAATTTTGCTTAGTTAATATTGTATATCTAGAGGTATATCTAGAGGAAATAATTAATTATGATCATTAATTTGTAAAATATCTAATTTGTATACGTCAAATTTTAATTCTTCAGTTAAAATGGCGAATGGAATTCCGAAATTTTAATTCTTCAGTTAAAATGGCGAATGGAATTCCGATTATTTGCTTATTCAATGGAAAATTGAGTGTTGGAATGAATAATTTGCCTATATATGATGGTGGAATTCCGATTATTTGCTTATTCAATGGAAAATTGAGTGTTGGAATGAATAATTTGCCTATATATGACGGAGGCTCTAGAAAAATGTTCACGTTGTCTAGAAATTATAATTTCGATGGAATGATGGAGCAAATATACAGAGTTACCAGAATTAATCATGCCAAAAATGTCATTAAGATCTTCTGTAATTGTCCAATAAATGAAAACAGAACAATTGCTGTAGAGATCACCACTAATGAAGAATTGAATGACATGATACAACTTGAGGATAAACAAATCGTAATTGAGTTGTTTATTGAAAATATTCTAAAGTCTGGGGTTGTTGAAGTTTCATATGCTCACGGAGAGTTCTCTCGCATGCTTGAAAGTCAAATCTCGTTATCTCAAAGTACCTTGCACTTAAAAATGACTCAGGTGCAATGTCAAGTGACATGTTTCACAATGCATCGGGTCATGTTTCAATTGATTTACCGGTTGGTGGTTCTATAATAGAAGATGACGAATATGTAGATGCTGATGATGATAGTGAAGATGTTGAGTCCGAGGAGGAACGTCTTGATAGTATGCAGTTTGCAATTTGAGAGAACAATGATGACGCAAGTTGGATGAATGAATATTGCGTGAACAACGATTATGTAGAGTCTGAAGAACCGTTGCCCGAAGAGTTTAAAAATGACGAGTGGATAAATAACTCACAAGCTAAGTTAGTTGAGCCTGGTCCTAATTTCGATCGACCCGAGGATATCACTTTCAAAAAAGGAGATCTATTCGAGAATAAGGAAAGCTTAATTTTTGTTATACATGAATGGGCAATTAGGAACCGGGTCAAATTCAAGCCGGTAAAATCCAATACAACTAGTTACCATGTAAAGTGTTACTTCAATGAGAAATGTTAAGCCGCTTATACAAGTGCTGCATACGATAGAAATTTAAAATGTTCATGGAAGCTTAATGCAGGTGTTAGGAAAAAATCTAACGGGTAATTTATGATCTCAAGTTATTACGGACTTCATACATGTTGCAATCCGACTGTCGCTAATGATTATAAGACAACAACTTCCACTTATATCATGAAGCTAATTATGCCCTAAGTTAGGTGGGAATTTGATCTTACTCCAGGATAGATAATTATAACGGTTCGTGCTATGAAAGGCATAACTATATCCAAGTTTAAAGTATATGATGCACAGAGGAAGATGTTGACTAAAATCTTTGGAGATTGGGAAGAATCTTATCAAAACTTCCACATTATCTTGCAGCAATTAAGATGAAAAATCCGGGTACTGAATATGAGATAGTGTCTAAGGAGATCGCGCCAGAAATGGAGAGGTTCATCCGGGTATTTTGGGCATTTGGCCCGCTATCAAAGGGTTTTCTTTTTGTTGTTCGCTCTTAAGCATCGATGGAACACATGTATATGGCAAATCCAAAGGAGTGCTCTTGGTTATGACCGGTGTAGATGCAAACCGTGGGCTATTTTCAATAGCTTTCTCAGTTGTGGAGGTGGAGGATACATCGAGTTGGAAGTGGTTTTTTCAGTGTATTTACAAATACATTCCGACTGTTCAAAGTCCAAGAGTTATTACCTTTATTTCTGACTGAATGAAAGGAATTCCACGAGCCTTGCATGAGGGGTGGAGTGCACCACATCATCACTGTTATTGCTTGCAGCATATAAGATCTAATTTTAAGAGAAAACATGGAGAGGTCAATTTACAAAATTTACTGTGACAAGCTGGGTGTGCCACTGACTCATTTGTATATGAGCATTGTAGAGAGAAAATTAAATCCCTATCAGTTGAAGCACACAATTGGATTGAACAAAACTTGAAGTTGTAATACGAAGATCGATGGGATTATGTAAAGATAGTGGAGTGCGTTATTGTATGATGACGACTAATTACTCTGAAAGTTTTAATGGTGTGCTTAAGGGTGCCTGTGCTGTACCAATTAGTGCCTTAGTTGCAAGGACGTTTTATAGATTAAACGCATACTTTAATAAGAGATGGGGTGATGGTGCAAATTGGATGAGTAAGTACACTACAAAAAATAAGCATTCCAAGTGAATTGATGAGGAATGTGCATTCCCATTCAAGTGAGAATCAAATTAGTTATGTAATTTTCAATTACACCCCTATTGATAACAAAAATAAATCTAAAAATCTTGTCTTATTGAGCGACATAACCAGATTAATAACATGGATATGTATGAACAATTGATTAAGATGTTTTTTCCTTAGGCTTGCATATATAGGGAAATGGATTCTAGGATAGAAGCACGAAATATTGCCTATTTTTATGAAGTTTGTTTTTAAAAATAAAATTGTTTAGTTATTATCATTAATGATAATTTTTATCTTTTTAAAAATCTATGTTGTTGTAAGGGCATTATTAGAAAATAAGATTTTATTCTCACTTGTGAACTAATTGTTATGGTAATTCGCATCTAAAGATAAAAATATCGAGAAACTGTCTTCAAAGGCCCGAGAGAGCTATGACCCAAGCCAGCTTAGCGGCCTAAAGCCCAGCCAAGAACAAATCTATTAACCCATCGAGCGACGAGTTATCTTTACCGACGCAAAGCGCGGGAGTAGTCGACCCTTCATAATCAAGACGACTCCTCAAGAGTCTGCCCACCTCATAATCGAGACAACTCCTCAAATAGTCGGCTCAGCCATCTACTCGGTTGTCTACTCGGCCAGAGGCTCACTCGACTGTCTGATCGGCAAGTCATGGGGACGATTCAAAAAACCGACCCGTCTCTACTAAGGGGATAAGATCCAACTAAGCTCCCTTCAGATATACATCAATCAACACTACAGTATTGATCGATCCCATCAAGATCTCAACTCTGACAAATCTCATGCATACATAGCTTTCTCTGGCTCACAAGTTACTTCTCAGATATTACTAAGATATCCTCTCATGTGCTCGAATGACCTCCCTTCCAGTCACTATCTGACATATGTAGAAGGAAGAATGACTAAGCAGCCAGCTTATCTTGCGTCATGCCTCATCTGTCAAATCTGGGACATAGTAGAGACATCCTCTTCTGTGCTCGAATAACTTCCCTTCCAGTCGTAAGCCGACATCTGTAAAGCGAAGGATGACTCAGCAGCCTGTCCGCTCACTTCCCAACCGCCCTCATGTGCATAGTCAGAGCCAAGGATCCGTGTCTTAAAGGCGATTGACTATAAAAGGAGAGAAGCAGGGTAAGAAAAAGGAGGCTGGACCTTCATTAAACTCCGGGGATCATTTCTCCCTCTTGATCTATTTTTTCTTTTTACTAATAACTCAAAGAGACTACCCCCTACAAGGACCTTAATTGCCCCGGGACTCTCCCAAAAACCCCACTCAAGCTCACAAGTTGACTTGACCGTCGGAGGTACCATTGGGAAACAAGCCCCGCCCTTTTACGGTTCTTGCGTGTGCAGGTCGTCCGTCAGTACCGAGCTCTAGGAATCAGACATAAAGTCAGAGGAGGAGTTGGTCACATCTCTCACCCTCTCACTCTTCGTCATTAGTGTGAAGATCTGAGCTGCATCCATCAGCGGATAGCTCTCATTGGTTGTGTGATATCGAACATCAACAGTTTAGTGCTTATCGTGGGGCCTACTTTCTTCTCTGAGAAAACATACCCAATTATGAGAAAGGACCTGATCTTATTCATTCTTGAAGAAGCATTACTAGAATCGCACCAATCAAGCTAAACAAAGTCTGGAATTGTATCATTCAAACTAAGGAGGATTAGCCTAGGCTATGAGGAGCAAACACAGGCGTAGCCCTCAAGGGCTTCAACAGCTTTCTAGGGGGTATTTGCCAAGCAAGCCATCCACCAGAAGATGGACCCGCTACCAGAACCCCGAGAGCCCTCCTATAGAAGACACACCATTATGATGCTTGTCTGGCTTGAAAATGAAGCACAGGCTTCTTATCGAGGCTTCTTATCGCCGCCACAGATGAACTCCACCTCCTGGATAGCCAAGGAGCTTAGAGTTGGATCACAAAATAGAACCCCGCCTCCAACAAGAATTATGATCAGATCCAATATTG